GCGTGTTTTTTTGGCTAAATTAGGTTCCATCTTTGGGCAATTTTCCCTTTTTGGGCAGTTTTGTTGCCTTTTTTGCACTCTGTTTGCCAACTAATTTACCGTTAGTTATTACTCTATGCGTGTATGTGTGTGTGTGTGTGTGTGTTTAGTAAGAGTGTCTATCTCAGCATGCATATGCCGGCCATTTGTCTGCCACGCCTTGACCATAAATAACACGTCCTTTAGCCCCACGTAGCAGCACACACACACAAACACACACTTAAGGAGGGGTCCAGCTACACGCACACTAAGACAGAGTTGTCACTTATAAATGTGTAGCCATTTCCATTAAGTTGTTGTCATCACTAACATTCCTGCGAGGCTCATTCTGACCAGAGGCAAAGGCACTTGGCCGGAACAAAATACACAGCCAATCCCCACCCCCCCCCCCCCCCCCCCGTCCAGTCCCATAGACTCTTTCCGTTGCAGGTTTGTTAAGTTTTCCACCCACCCAGAGACACAGAGAGACCATTTCGTAATCTGTGAACCATGCGAAAACCCCATGGCATTTGGTTTGCTACAAATTCAATCAATTTTTGCATTGGACTAATTTATGCCTTCAGGAAGTGTGGGCACACTTATCAAGCGGCACTCGATTCCTTTGATTCCTTGGATTCCTTTTATCCTTACTCTTAGTTGTTCCATTGCTGCAACTAATTCTTAGCAGGATATTCTTCAAAAGTTCACTTAGCAGAGTACAACATACATGTCCTGTGCATGACGAAGCACACATCATCCCCCCATGGATGAATCTTCTAGGGTATGCGAGCTTCCATTTTGAGTGCGTGTTTCGCTGAGCAAGAGGTCGTGAGAGCAAGCCGCTAGGTAATCTTTGACTTAAACGCAGAATGAGTGAGGGCTTGAGAGATGTGGGAGTGAGTAACCGACTTAATCACAAGAAAACGACGACACAGTCCCGCCTCACGCTGCCTCCCATCTGCAGCCACAACTTGCCTTCTCTTCTCTTTTTGCCTCTGCCATCTTGTAGACATTCAAATCTGCAGTGTCAGCCATTCATTTGGTTAATGACATTGTGGCGGTTGCTGCGGCAAAAGCCACACACACACACACACACACACACACATGTATCTGTGGAGGAGGCGCGAGAGAGGTTCTCCAAGCTACTTTTCAACTGACACACAAAGTTTTTGGCTGGCCTACCGCCCGTCAGTCTGTCTTGTTGCTCATGTTGCCGCTTCTCTGTGCCTCACATGGCCTAGTCCTGCTGCTGGTCTGAGGCTTTGGTTGAATTATTTTAGCAGCAACTGTTGTCTCTTGTTTGCTGCTGCTGCTGCTCTCGGTGTGGCTGTGGCTCTGGCTGTGGCTGTGGCTGTGGCCTCTGTGCTAATGCAGCATGCCCATTCACATCCACCGCCTGGATTGTGCCGCACATCTTCATCTCCTGTCTCCTGTCTCCTGTCTGCTGCTCATTGCCCGCTTGGGAGCTGGCGCAGCAAGTAAATGAAAATGGAATATAAATTAGAACAGAAAAAGAAATAACTGAAAATATACAAACAAAACCGGCAAGATGTATGCCACATTGTAACTGAATTAAATGAAATTAAATGCACAAAAAGGTAGCGACAGCATAACGGACTTTTACTCTATGATGACTCCGATCTCTGGTCTCTGCTGGCAGTCACTTATTCTTGAATATATTTTTAAAAGCACTGGCAGCACCACATTAGCCTCAAGCATGCACGCACACTTAAACTTCAACAAAGAAATGACCAATAAAGAAGTTGCTGCCTCTTAATGTGAATATTTTATAGTGCGGAAGCAGCATTTGGCATTTAAAAATGATGTCCATTAACCTTATGGACTGCAGTTACTTGTGACACTTGGGATTATGGAAATGGTTCTATAAACAAATGGTTCTTATGTTAACCAGCTCGAAAAGTTGTAAAATTAAAGAATAAAATGCGCTCGCATTACACAATTAGTGGCAAAAGTGCTAGAAATATAAGAATTCTCATCACATAATGTTAATTTTGCAAACATTTTCCACTGATTTAAGTCACAATTTCTGCTGCAAAAAGGAGAATATTATTTGGCGTTTGTTTCCTGTATGTTTCCACAGCGCACAATGTCTCTGATCGATCTTTAAGCTCGACTGAATGCATAGTTTATGCCATGGCAAATATATCTAATAGCCAGCCAGCACATTGATCTGCTAATTGGAATACCTGAGACTGAGATTGTAAGCCACGAGTAACCCTAGAGGGTCCGATACGAGTGGAGTGCCTTGAGAGCCACACACACACGTGCATGTGTGATGGCATTCTCGTATATGTGTGTGTGGCTGGCATGGAGAGGTTTGATTCAATTTGGCTCCAACGAAGACGCTGACACACTGACACGGCCACAGGACAGCTGCAAATAGTTGCAAATGCAAGCACTATCCGCACCGTTCTCTTACTCTTACTGCCTGAGTGTGTGCTTGGAGCACTTTCTAATGAGTTCCAAATGGAAAGTACTCAACGTTGCCCCTACGGTCTCTAGCTCGCCCATTTACCATACGGCTCTCGATCTGCATTCTACCTCGTGCTCGTGCGTGGGGCATATGCATTGAATCATTCCCTGCTGGGATCAATCACTGGACAAAAGGAACCGCTTTGTGAGGTATCTTTTAGTGCTATCTTTTATGGATACTCCCACGTGGGAGTAACGGATATCTTTTGGTCGACAACTTTTGGCTTTCTCCCATTTGGTTTTGCATTGAACTTCTGCCGGACTCTTTTGGGGCACTTGGCACTTGATGCATTGCACTCGAACGCTTTTGGCACGCTGATGAGATGGGAATAAGTGTGTGGAGTGTGGAGTGTGGAGCATAGAGCTTGGAGTGTAGAGCACTGAAAGCAGAGTGCATAGTGCAGAGGTTGATGGCTCACCATTCCGAATGGGCTTCCATTTTAATGTGCGCCACATAGTTGACCCGAATCTGAAATCTGTAAGAGCTCTCCCCCTCCCCCTCCCCCTCCCCCTTCACATGACAACGAAAAATGGATTTTCAATTTTTCATTTGAAAATTTTACGGCGAACTGGAAACGGAACCGAAAGCTACGCTGTGAAGCATCGCAAGTGCTGCCACTGCCACGCTGCCACACTGCCACACTGCCACTCACTCCTCCAGTCAGTGCCTTTAATGAGTTGCGAAATGCTTGTAGAGTGAAGCCCGGCAGCATTTTGTAATTGGCTGCTCGAACGTCAGAGCTGGTAGCAGGGGGGAGGAAGCTAAAATGAAATTATATACCGCATGGACGAGCCCAGGACAGGGGTTCGGGTTTGGGTTTGGGTTTGGGTTTGGGCTTGGGCTTGACATGGAGCTCGGCAAAGGCAGCTTGGCAACGTCGCACAGGCAAAACTCAATTTAATCGGCCAACGAAAATCAATTTAAAATAGATTTACTTCGCTACACTAATTGGGAGGCGCCGCTGCTGGCCGCTGGCTGCTGGCTGACACCAAAGATGGGACAGCGGCGGAATATCAACAAATATTTGCACCAAAAACTAAGCGAAAATGTATGGAGGAAGTCCGTTAATTAAACACTTTCATCCGTCATAATGGGAAACAACAACAAAAAGGCACTTTGAAGCAGGCAAATTGAGTAAATGGTGGGGCAGTATGGCATAGGCGATGCCCACTAGTCGATTTGTGCCCAAAATTAGTCATTGATGCAGTTTTTCTTGCAATTTAAACATCGAGCAATGCGTGTACAGAGGCACAATTCATGCCGCCTGTTCCACTCATAGTCCCTCTTGTTCCTACTTGCTAATAGCTATGCAAATAACTCCTTTTTATGCGTTTATACGTGGAAAACAGCACGAATATACCTCTCGATACCAGAGAGTAGCGAGCAAAGCTCCAGCAGCAACAATAAAAGTTGTTTAGACATAAGTAAATTACTTGGAAGCGCCATTTCGACACTTGGCTGGCGGCGGAAATTCTATAGTCTGTCTACAGACTCTGCTGAAGCATCAGAGAATAAGACAGTGGCTGGGGGGCCACGCTGCTTTGAGGGATTTAAGTTCCGGGGCGTAAACTGTAAACAAGCAGCGGCAACCAAGTGCCCGCAAATACATTCAAATTTAATTGAAATACAAATTGGCAGCTTTTGTTGCCAATCGTCCGCACAAAGCTTGAGCAGAGACGCAGACGCACAAGCAGTGGACGAGGCGCAAGCAGTGGCGCAGGGCGGCACAACAAGGCAAATAAACAAAAAGCAAAAGCAAAAAGAAAGAGAAAAGGAGAGGGAGAGGGAACGGGCAAAATCCTGGGTAAATTGTACAAGGGGAAAGCAATTTGAATTGAATCTAAATATTTATGCAGCAGTCCGAGCAACACAAATGAAAAGTTGATTATAAAAAGATTCGAAGGCTGAAAGCAGTGCCGGCAGTGCCGCAACTGCTTGACTTTGCATTCACAGTGCGGTGTGGAAACTGCACTTTTGCCTGTTCCGTTGGGCGCTTTGGCACAACTGACTATAAAAATTTATCCAAGGAAGCTACTTGCAGCGCCAACAATTTGATGTAAAATGTTATTTGCTGGCAAAAATGTGCACTTTTAGGCTTTTATTTTCTTTTAAATGTTTGCACATTTATTGATAGTTTTTGCTAATATAAATCAAACCATTAAGAAGAAATTGCCAAATATTGTGAGTACAATATTTTATTAACAAATAAAGAAAACTAAGCATCAAGCTTCAAGATTTCTTAGAAAGTTTCTTCTATCCCACTGTGCCGCAGTAGGAATGTATCCCAATGTTTCCACATCTAACAAAGCCTCCTGTGTGGGTAACAAAATCGAACAAAACCTTCGAAAACTCCCAAAATCCAAGTAGGCGATTTGTAAATTTCTAGAGGCTGAGCCATATTTTTCTCAGTCGAACGGAACTGCTCGTAGGAGCAACATCTAGGAAAAAAAAGTGAAAATATAATTTCGAAAATAAAAGTGAACTAAACGGGGAAACAAAAGCAAACGAACAAACAAACAAACAAACAAAAACAAAATGTGGAAACCTACCCGCGCTTTAAAACTTCGGTTTAAGAGGTCTCCCAGAGACCATCGAGTTCCGCCGGATAAAAATTAAAAAACCAAAAATTAAGAACTCAAACTTGTACACATTTTAGACGGTTAATTTCTTCTCTGTTCTTTTGTAAATTACACATTAATATTTTATTTTTTAAATTTTAATTTTTTTAACTGGAAAAAGAACGATCAAATACATGTAGAAAGCAAAGCAAAAGAAGTCTTCCAAGTGTACGCCAAGGTTGGGCTATCCTTGCTACACTTCCCGGACTCAGCTACCTGCTGAACCGAAATTCAAGCTACAACTTCCCCGGACAAGGATTGATACTGACAGTCGGCCAGTAAGTCTCATCCTCAACCCCTGGCCCATGCTGACTTAATGATAAGAACTTGCCCCCCTTCCAACGCATAAGATATAGTTTTGGTTTAGGTTTCAAACTGAATCAAAATTGTATCCAAATTTCATCGAAGGAAATATTTCCAACAATATTCCAATAACTAGGACAAAAGTGTACCGCAAGGTTGGGCTATCCTTGCTGCACTTCCCGGACTTACCCACCTGATAGAACAATTAAAAGTTGCTCCTGAGTTGCAACTTGCAGCTGACGATGCAACTTTCCCTGACTTACCACCAGCTGAACCGAAATTTGAACTACAACTTCCCCGGATATGGAATGTCTTGGGCACTTCCCATACTCCACAGTAAGTTGAATTTGATTCGAATTTCTAAACTTCAATGCTGATCGTTAGTCTCCTGCAGTCTCATAATAATGTAAAACAAAATATACACGTGTCCAGAAAAAGGCTGATACTGACAGACGGTAAGTAATCCTCAGCCTCAATCCATGGCCCATGCTGACTTACTGGCGTCTCCTTCCTAGCAGGAAAATGAAAACTGAAAACGCATCCGATATAGATTTTTTAGGTTTCAAAATTAATCAAAATGTTATCCAAATTGCATCGGTGTGATGTGCTGACACTTGAAGGAAATATTTCAAAATGAAACAAATGTAAAATCCATTTCGGAAAGCAAACTATTTCGCCAATAAAATTTAAAATAACGATGATGAAAATCTTGCTGTTGTTTTTTTTTATTGGGTGTAGCTTAAGACATTTATTTGCCAAGTTCTTCTTTTGGAACTACTCAAACCCTTTGGGTAGCTGCTGCTTATTCCACTGGCCGTATCTTGTACTATATTTAATCGTATTAGAGCCAGATGGCTGTGGCCAGCACTGAACGAAAACCCTTCAGGCAACAGCCACGTGCGCACATACGGCCAGACGAGAGTATCGGGTTTAAGCTGCATCAAATGATTTGTCCAATTTAAATTTCCAGACATTGTGCTCCCAGCCTGCTTTGGGGGGGGGGGGCAGGAAAACATTTCGATTTCGCCTCTAACTGGAGCAAAATTCAAAAGAAAAAGTCTCCCTCGCCCTGGGCCCCGCCTCAACAGCTTTAATCTGCTTGAGCGCACTTCAAGTGGCAAGCCAGCCAGGACGACATCCACACAAAGCGGCGATGCCTGGGGCCTGGCGGAAAGTGCAACAAAAACTGGCGACGCTTAATAAAGCCACACGGAGCGGAAATGAGCGTGTAATGTAAACGGAAATGCGTTGAATGACGCCATATTTGGTTTAGCTGCCAGCCAGGATGTACGAGTATGTTGTAGCATGGGTGGCCGGCGAGAGGGGGATCGCGTGTTCGTATCGACAACGCAATTGAAAATGTTCCCCTCCCCCAGCAAGCAGCGACATAGTGTTAAATTGTGTTCAAGAAAGAGCGACAAGATGCTGGTGGAGGAGAGAATAGAAATCGTGGGAATTTCCGCTCTCCACTTATGTCAATTGGGGCTTCAAGCTGCAGGCTGCAGGCACAGTGGAACGAGGGAAAAAACAAAAACAATAAAGTCACGTAAAAAATACACCAGAAAAGAGTAAAAGTTATCTTGCAGCCCGTGGGCCACTGTGCACACTGCACTCGAGGGACCCAGTTTTTCTGTGCTGTGCTAAGCTGAGAGTGTCTGTGCCCGTGGAGAGCGAGCGAGACATACATCATTGGTTATTTATTGGTTTCCACTAAATAAATCGAACCGAAATTGGCAAACGTCGCAGAATGGCCATCATTGGGCTCCTCCAGCCTCTCAGCCAGCCCATTCCCATTCCCATTCCCAGTGGCACTGCTCATGCACGTACTTCTCACGTAAGCCCGAACATATTAGGGCTGCCACAGTCACTGTCGTCGTTACAGGGACACAAGTTTTGCCCCCCCCGTATGGTAGGACCAATGTGGGCCAAAAACTTTTGCGCTGCCTTCGGTGGGGTCCAAGTTTATTATTTATTTAGTCAAGTTTTCACTTTGACACCAAATCCCATAAATACGTACATGGCCACAGCAGGTAGCCCAGACCCCATATATCTTCTCATTAGCTGCTTTTGGGGATGACCTGGCATTCTAGTTATCGAATGATTTTCTCGATTGTCGAGCTGACTTTGGGCTTTTGGACTTTTTTGTTGTGTTTTACTTGTTTTTGTTTGCTCGGCAAGGCCCAAAAAGGTGTCGGCTTTATTCTGTTATCCGAAAGTGAGCAGCAAATTTGCTGTCAAGGGACTCGCGTGTGACAAGGCAGGAGAAGAAGGCAAACGAAGGACCTACAATATACCTGACAGCGATGCAAGCGATAAGCAAGGTAATAACTTTTAAAATCGCTTCAGGCTAGACCCCAAAAACGGGGGAGAATAAGGCCAATGACGGTTCAGAGTTCAGAGCTTCTTTTGGGAATTTCCCATTTCCCATTATGCTTAAGCTAGATTAGATAACTGCAGCGTAATATTCAGCATCTTTAATGTTGACTCAAAGCGGATGTAATGGAAAATTACGCCCAGCCACAGCAGCAAAAGCGATTCTGAGAAATAATATTAAGTATTCCATAATTAAATATTAAATGAACTTTTGCAAACTAAAGCAAAAGCATTGTAGAGCTGTGGTTTGCATATGCATTTCTTCCCGTCAAACAAAGGAATGAATTTGTTTCTACAAGATTTAACAATAGTCTCTGCGAGCGTATAAGTGATTTGGTACTTTTCATAGCATACTTTTTAGGGCAAATACTTTAAATTAGCCCTTGGGCCATGTTTAAAATAAATGATAAACGAAATAATGTTTTCAAAGAGATTGCTGCGAAGGCAAACTGATGGGTTGTCTGACGTTTAGTAGACTCCATTATACATGTCTCCATGCCCTGTAATGGCAGAGGAAAAAGGGTGGACTGGCACTAATCTTGAGAGCAAGCAAATGCACTCTTTGCACTCATTATTGAGTGTCGGCTTGGATAGCTACAATTAGCTCGTTATCAGCTTAATGCAAGGAGAAATAAAACACACACACCCATTTGAGTATCGGGTATGTTGCCAGTCGACACTTCAAGTGCAGCATTTTCAGTTGTTTTCTTTGCCATTGTTGCGAGAAATCTCAGTACCCGTTCTTGTAGCCATCACCGTCAGTCCCCCAATTGGTGGGAGTGTCAGCTTAGTGCCAAGCAGTCGCCAAACAACAGTTCTAGCAATAACAGCAGCAGCAGCAGCCAATGCGAGAGAGCAAGAACGAAAGCACTTTGCACACACACACACACAAAAAACAACAAAAAACGAGTCCACAAACAATAGCAACAACTGAATCAACACTAAAAGAGAGCACAAGAGCAGCAACAAGAAAAACAAGAGCTGGAGTCAAGCACACAACAACAAACAAAGAAAACAGCAGCAGCAGCAGAAAGTGGGAGAATAAGAGAGAGAGAGAGAGAGAGAGAGAGAGGAGAAAGCAAGCAGTTGTGGGACTGCAAGCAGTAGCGGCACTGCAGCTGAGGGACATGCACATACAACCAAAACAATAGGTCAAAGAAATTAGATATAAAATTAAAAACAAGCAAGAAATGCTAGCTGCGAGCTGCGAAGTTTTTGATACCCTGGCACATCAATCTGCATTAAGGCTGCAGATTCCGTTGCAACAGTGAACCCATCCATCTAAGCAGAAGCAGGGCAAATCCACAGGCTTTACAGGTTAAGAACTAAACAAACTAGACCCGACATCTGCTGAACCCATTGTGCCCTCTGCAAGTGTAATAACAACATTAGAGTTAAGCTCTAACAAAGGCACATCCTGCGGTGAGAGAAAGACTCCGCGTGGGGTAGCAGCTAAACGCTCGTAAAGCTTTCAATTAAAATTAATAAAAATTTACGCGAATTAAATAAACACAGAACAGAACAGAACAGAGCAGAACAACCAGGTCAGGACGGGTCACAGAACGGGGTTGGACACGGGTCAGAGGGCAGGCCAGGTGCAAGTGAATGCAATAAAAACAGAGAAATGATGCACGTAGCAAACCATTAAATACCCTAGAAGGGTCGAGCGAATATACCTGATACGAGTGTATACAACCTCCGATTCAGACTAGAACTGAAACCACCAAAAAACCATAACTATAATCTGTTCAGATATTAATCTCGTCAAAGCTCCAAGGAGTCGAAACAGATGGAATAATCATCTGATTGGTGGACTATAATGATCAATTTTCAATGCATATTCCACACAAAACCCAAACCAATCTCTGAGTTGTTCTCTAAATTTTGCAAATGGTTTAGCTTCAAGCTGGAAAGCTGTCTATTCCGCTGTCCATTTGTTCTCCAGCCACAAACAAACATCTTAATGCTGTCTTGTGGAAGTGCGGCAAAAGCTGACAGTCTCGTCCACGGCATAAGAGGGAGGAGCACAGATATCCGAGTTCGAAATTCGGTATAACGGGAATATCGCATTTGGGATGTGGCTCAGGGTCGCACACGCACACGCACTCACACCCCACACCCCGCACTCAGCTATCTGTTGCGGTCCCGTGGAGTGCATGAAGCACATGAAGAACCAAGAAGAGCGGGCTGCCTGGAACTGTCCACTGGATTAAATAAATTGAATTGCTTGGTAAGACATGGCCCCGACCATTAAGCAGGAAACGGGAACTGAAACTGGAGCTGCCACACAGCGAGGGGAAAAGCCCACTTGAGCCCAGGGCCCTGAAAAACCGGAGAAGTGATTCTGTTCCGTTGCTCATTCTATTCGGGTTTGGTTAGTTCTTATGAATTTATGAGGTTCCCTCATCGAAGGTAAACAAGTTGAGGGGCCCTTGCACTAATCAGACACTTATTTTGGATTTGGGACTGCCCAACAGACGTATGGGAAGCAGAAGGCAGAAAAGAATGAAAAGGAAATGAAGAGAAGAGAAGAGAAACGAATGAGCAGCACAACAAAAGATGGCAAATTATTTGCCCTTCTTCGAATGTTTACGCTTGGCATTTAAATTTTAAATCCATGCCTAGCATATGTAAGTATTTGGTGGATAAATAAAATATAAAATGTTTGTCTTTGTGATGATTCTTAACGCATTAATCTGGACTTGTTGCCGTCATCGTGTGTGCCTGGCGCTGTCCCCATCGATTGCAAATTGTGACTTGACATCGTGACATCCTGCTCTGATCACCGCCAAGAATACCTTCAACAATAAGTGTGCTGCCGTCTTATGTTTCTGCTATGGTTAGACGATTTCTCAGAGTTTTTGTTTGCCATCTTGGCACATCCGCAGCCGATCACCCCTAACGACTGCAACTCAAAATGCTTAATGCTAGGCCGACACACGCACCTGCTGAGTAGTCCGCCGCCAGACGAGAACGAAGGAAGCAGTCAACCAGCCAACGAAGCAGTCAGCCAGATAGCCAGATAGCCAGACAGCCAAACAGTCAGTCAGCCTGTCAGCGCACAAATGGCGCCACAAATGTTTTGCCCTTTTTGTCGAATGGAAGGATACATTTGTAACTTCTATTGATTTTTAATGCACGCTTCTGCTGCCTCCCTGTCCTCCCTCGCACAGAGCTCTGTGCCTTTCCTTTCCTTTCCGTTCTGCTACGTTCTGTTCGGTTCTGTTGGCTGCCAAGGCGTCGTCCATGCTTAGGACAAGCCAGCAAGCCATGAACTTTACCCAGACCCAGAACCAAACCCAGACACAGACCATAAACTCAGGCTCCGTCTCGGTCTCCAGCTTACCCCCTTCACGAGGATTGTGGGTGCTTGTGCTGGTGCTGGTGTTCCTGCGAATTTTAATGCTTGTAGCAAGGAAACAAACAAACAAACATGTTACAGTCGATGGCAACTGCCCGCAAATCCATTGCTACACTTGATAACTTAATGCCCCACGCATGCGGCCACACACTAGACACAGACTCGATTACGCAGCAACAAAAATAAACACACATATGGATGGAAACCTAGATGCAGAGACAGATAGGCAGATAAACTTGTCGAAGATGCGGGAATGCCTATGCAAATGGCTCCGCATTTGCGTATACCAGATGGTGGCGTGAGGCTTGTGAGTATCGTGACTTCACTCTGAGGCAAAATAAATCCATGATGAGAGCCACAAGTGATTCTAAAAACTAATTGAGTGTACAGACATGATCGTTTGAAGTTTCCCCAGGCCCATCTTAATGGTACAAATCATTTCTGAAGTTCTGTTGTTCTACTTACGGTTCGAGAAGGCGCTCAGTGGCCGCGTTAGCAGCGTCAGCATTAGCAGCAGCAGCATCACTGGCACCATTGGCGGCGACTGTACTTGTTGCAGTTTGTAGTTTTGTTGCTCCTGTCGCGGCTCATGGGCGTGACGGTGGCGTCGACCACCCAGTTGCGGAGACATTTTCAAATGGATTACTTGTCAAGCTGAGCGGCTCTGGCCTATTGGTAATCGCTTGTTTGTGTCCTCAATCGCCTATCGTTTTTCGCACTGAAAGAGCACAAAGTAGCTGCTGTATTTGAGCATTATTGATGGACAAAACCAATTTGTTTGGTTAACAAATCATTGAAAAAAAACGAAAACGAAAACAGAAACAGAAACAGAACAGCAAACAAAACGGATTCCAAGTACAATTTACATTTAAATCAGACAATCAGCAACACAGTTTTAAGTACATAATAAATGTTTACACGTCCATTGTATTGACATGACAAATTTATTTTTTTGTCACAATTCGGGGTGTAAAAGAGGGCCGGGGGACTGTTGGCGGTGGGCGGTTGTTTTAACGGGAAGGACATGAATGGATATGGATACTGCAGCGAGATGGAAAAAGCCAATGGGGAGAGTTACATCAAAGTTTCATTGCCAGCCGTTGCCGTTGGCAAATTTTTCGACCTCTCCTGCATTAGGAATTTCGTGTGGCATACTTTGCAGCGTCGTCTCGTTTTACGACTTGCCACACCACACCACACCACACACGCAGGCCCGCCCGTCAACTTATGCCGAAAAAGTTTTCAACGTGCCAGCAACCGCCGCTACGTGTGACAATGACAGCCACAAAAACTCACTTTCGCTCCCTCGCTCCCAAGAAAGAAAGAGAGAGAAAGTCTTCCTTTTTTCGCTCAGTGGGTAGCGAGAGAGAGGGAGCTCGAAATTGGGGGTACATTACGGTAGATTTGTCAGGCATAAATTGCATTAATCAGTTGTGCGACTCTCTCCCCACACAACGAAGTTGAAAATGTTGCGGTGGGTAAATTACAATGAAATCACCATTTCATTTCGTTTATCCTCGTACCATCAATGAATGAAAACTTTTCCAAAAACTCACAATACCTAAGAAGTTGACAATTTGTCGGATCTTTTCAGATAACACAAAGACATGGCTCAACAAAGTAACTTCTGTTGATCGATCGAGTGCTGTGTGAAGGGAGCTCGAAGAGCAGGAGTTGTAATTATTAATGGGTTGTTTTTAACGCACAAAACTTATATAAGGAAATATTATGGGGAACTAAATTAGCTTCAAAACGATATGTGTGAGAATCAGAAACTAGCCAAAGATCCTTTTTAATAGCATCCCAATTTGTGTATTCAAGTGTGGCACACGCCAACAATTTGAAGTATTTTTCCTTGGATTTTTTTGCGATTTTCATCTACAAAGTGTTTTCAAAGAAATTTTGTGAGTTCCTCGCCACAAGCTTGTCGAGCATCATGGAAATACTTGGATCACTTGAAGTGCTTTTTGTTTGGGTGTTCCACAAAATGTTTCCTTTGTTAAAGTAACTTTTTCACATGAAAGCGCTACCACCATTCCCAACCACCAATGGTAGAGCCAAATCATTTTATTAGGGATCGGCAAAGTCCCGCACGCAATCCGACTGCTTGGGGCACGAGTTAAGCATTCCTCGTGGCATTAACTGTATCCACCTACAGCCAGCTGCCCTTGCGGCTGGTTAGACCAAATTGAAAACGAATTAAAATGAAATTTCAAACGCTTTGTGGCAAAAGTTTTCGCCCTGCCCCACACGAACGAATACTTTTGGAAAGTACTTCAATTTTTGTTGTATAAGAAAAACTTGGATATTTCTTCTCATTTTGGTTTTGTTTTTGTCATAGAGAATGCAATTTCCATTTTGATTAATTCGTTGCTAAGGGCAAACACTGTTTGCTTTTCAGTCAAATTATCGCATATTTTCCGGTGATATTTTGTTCGATATTTTGCTAGTCGTGATTTCTGTAGTGTTTGTGTTACATTTTTAAAGTCTTTCTGTCCGAAGTGACGCACCGAAAGACTCTTCTCACATGCATGGGAAGCGCAGGTGTCGCTTCTGTGGAATATAATGTAATCATTTTTGATGAGGGAATGGTGCCAAATGGGGGCAAAGTGTTGCTGATAATGACGTTTTTTATATTGATATCACGAACTGCACTAAATCATTAAGTAATTGATTTTATTATGCCATTTCCCTTAACGAGCGACACCCCCCTATTTGGGCACATCTGAATAAGGTTTCTACTCTTTTTTTTGCTCCCCCACTCCATAATGCGATTCGTGGAAGGGCAGTGTGTCGGCTGAAACACCTGAGACCATCAGAACACCAACTGTTTGTGGAGAGATACCAAAAGGAGAGTGAAAGGTAAACGGCGCCCGACTTGAGACTTGAGACTTGCGACGGAAATGCAACACTTTTCCCTTACACATCCGTTTTTGTAAATTTTGTTGTTTGTTTGTTTTGGGTATTTTTGTTCGTGTAACTTCTCCTTCGCTGACGTCTACTTTATGCACTGTTTGAACAACTAGAACAAAAAGGAGCAAAAAAAGAACGGAAGCACAGTGTGGGAGTGCTGTGGGAACACAGGAATTACCAACATCAACACAAACACAGGGAAAGCGCTCGCCGGATTTATAATGGCAAAGTAAACAGCTTACGAATCGCGCGCGACTTTTGTCGTTGGTTTTTTTTTTGTTCGCCTTCCTTCTGCCTTCGCGTTAGTTTTTGTTTTTGCGCGCGCTTTTTCAAACGACGCCTCTGACGGTGTGGAGGAGTGTGTGTGTGATGTGCGCCTCGGTATCCGCTATGGCAAGAGAATTGTGCGCGTCCTACGCCAGCCGAACGCAGAATGCTGGCGACAGCGGGCCAGGCAACGGCTTTTATACGCGAACAACCGACAGTCCGGAGCTTCGGGGGCTTCAGTTGGGAGCTCGGCTCGGCGTTCGTTTAGCATATGTCTGATGCCATCGAGACACAGGCATCATTGGGATGGCGTGCACATCCACGCTACGAGGTATGGCCAATCCTTTAGTATCTTTCGAGCAGTGTTCAGCTGGCGCACCCTTCCATTTAATATGACTTTGCCATTTGAGTATTGGGGAGGTGGGTGTGCGAGTGCGAGTGCCAGTGTGAGTGCTGGCATATTTGCTTTATGAATGTGTTTACCCGAAAACTTTAGCGGGGAGAGGGCCGGGGATGCTGCGTGCGAAAGTGCCAACACTCGCATTAATGACAGCAACAACAACACAACACAGGCAGAGGCAAAGGCACAGCCACACGGCAATGCCTACAATTTGAATTGTAAGCCAGGCCAACAGCTCAATTAACTGTCCGGGTGTGCACCGCCGCCCTCCCGTGTGCCCTGCGTCTGCGTCTGCGTCTGTGTGTGTGTTTGACTTTCTCGTACGAATATTTTCCATTATTTTGGCAATTACAAGGATACAACGGAGCAATTGCATATGCTTAATATTATTTAACCCGTAAGTGTGCCATGTCTGCTATTTGCAACACCCCCCTGTCAACCATAACCACAAGCTCCACCCTCCCCTTAATGCTTCCCCACCCGCCTCGAACTGCGTGTCAGGTAGATGCAAATATGAAAAATGCATTGCAATGCTTGCATTGCCATTGTCAGTGGCTCAATTATTCATGCAACCCAGCAAATGCATCCCGTACATGTGTACATGTGACTGTGTGTGTGTGTGTGTGTGTGTGTGCAACTGCATTGGTGTGTGTATGTGGAAAATACTCGTAAAGTGAGCAGCAACAGCAACAGAAGGTAATTTACATGTAAACAGGTTAAGGGATAATGTTCGTCACATGTAAATGGATATGTCTGATTAATGGCAAATAAATGCGCCACAAACATACGCCCGAAGAACATACATATGCACATATGTCATCTACTAGTATTACTGCTAGAGATGAGAGCAGGTCACACATTGCACTCACAGAGGGCACTGCAACAATAAACCTTTCTGCATTTTATCCTACAAAATGAGTAAATAAATATGCGCCTACACAAGGCCAACATTATCACTAAAGATCTATACTTAAACGCACTGAAGCTGACGAAGACTGTAGTTAATTTGGTGGTACGTCTGCTCGATGAGTCCATCCATCGATTGTGATGGAGGTGCTGCTGACAATTAAGTGTTGATTCAATTCATGCATAAATTTCACTTAATAGCTAGCCCTGAGGACAGTTCAAGTAAACGACTTCAAGCTGTTCCTGTAACACCTGCAGAGCGGCCTTTAAGAAATTTCGCAAGCTACACGTCGAACACTGCTTGGAGCAGCTATCCTGTGGGGTCCTATGCTGGCGGAGTGCGATCCTAACCATCGCCTCTGAGATTCACTAATAAATATATACATATGCACAAGTGCTCGTCCACAAATTTGTTCCTCGAGTTACTTTTAGTAAGTGCCAAAAAGTTCATTTTCTAATGGATAAATGTATTTGAAATGTATTTAAATGAAAAGCCTCGATCAAAGTATTTGCAATTGAACAGCCTCTCGCCAGTGTGCCCTGGCTGGAATAAGGCTGAGCGTTTTACTTTGTGTAGTGCAGGATCCAGCTTGAACTGCGTTTGCAATGGCCATTGGAGCAAATCATTTGTGGTTACTTTTCAGATTGAACTTACCGAGATCCCACTTATCCCACACATTCAGGTTCGCCAATTTTTGTGCATTCTGCTCACTGAAGAGGTTCTGGCCCGTGTTGAAGCAGATGGTACCCTCAAGAACTCGGCTTTAACAATAGCTCAACAGATCAAGATTGCTTAGTTGGGAAACACTTGATGTTCGTAACGACTAGTCTAGGGGATGCTTTTGAGTACACCTCTCAGCCGATACTTTGGCAAACATTTGAAAATGTTTCGAATCAAATATTTTGGTGTTAAATGAAGCACAGCAATGTTTGCAGACCTTTAATGTGGGATTTTCTTATGCACATTTATTGCTTAAGAGGTATAAAAATAAAAAAAATATACAAAATAAACTTATGATTATTTTCTGACCATTTGGTTTTTGTGTTCTACTGAAAATTGGAATTGCTTAACATTATTACATTTTGAACTTGCAATTAGTTTCCCCAAGTACATACATATGTATAATAATTCTTATTGAATAATTCATAGCCCCTGGGCTTTATTGAGCAGTTTGGGTAAGTCCAGGAAGCATGCTGTTTCTATCAGTTCGAGCAGTGTGCCCTGATCCACATCGAAGAACTCGGTGTACCACGAAGTGCTGTCGTCATCGTTTCTGGGCCCGGGATCATACTTATGGTAGAATGACCATGTCAGCAACTTTCGCAAAATAATAGATCGCGTATTCGGAAAGTACAGAAAATCATTCGCGCCCAGCAATTCTTTGAGTCGCTCAAATCGATTGGCCACTTCCCTGTCAATGGTTATGACCTCGCCCTCGGAGGACATCAGCTGGACTCTCTGCACCCGTTTATTTTGCTCCCTAACAAAAAAGAAACACATGAACAAAATGCAAACAAAATATTAAAAAGTGACTCGTCACTCGCCATCGTAAACAGAACCTTTTTTCTTGCATATTTGTTTGATTAATTGCAGTAATTTTTGCACACTTACATTTTGTTGTCGTTATTGTCGCAAAACCAAAAAAAAAGGATGAACATATGCGATGATCACAATTGGCTTTTATTTACTTAGTTTTTTTGTTTGTTGACATCAATTCATCCGAAACCATCACCACCGCTTGCAGTGGACCAGCTGTGACTGTATAATCACATCGAAAATCTTTTACGCTAACTTCTTTCCTAGAAATAAGATAAGAGGGAAAACATAAGAGAGAGAGATAGAGAGAGAGAGTGGGAGTGGGAGAGTGAGGAGTACATGTGCTCTTTTTGAGAGTCGCTCGCGAAAGCTCTCATGAAGAGAGATAAGCTTAAGCCAGACTTCGCTTCTGGCCATGAAGTAACTATAAGGAGGCCTCGTCGGTGGCAGAGTTATTCGTTGCTTTTCCTAATTTTCAGTGCTCGTTTGCTTGTCGACGCGGAAAGTTGGTCGCGGACAACATTTTTTTTCCATTTTGTTTAAAATGTTTATTTTTTTTTAAAACACAGACTACTATTATGCAGCAAACCATTACAAATTAAATTATGTTTTTTCACATTGCCTTCAAATGGTTAATCTGCACACTCCATTGTCGTTGCCCTCACACTTACACTTACACCTACTTACACTCGCCTGTTCTGCTTATTTTTGTCGACGAGACCTCCTTATAGTTTCTTCATGCGTGGATCTAGCGCGAATCTTCTGTGAAAGCTCGCCGTGAGCTTTATCCGAAATCGTATGATTACCCCGTTAGGTGTTGCAGCTACAGTTTCTAGCAGAACGAAAATTTCCATTCTTTTGTATACACATACATATGTACATGTGTATGCACATTTCTTGAGTGATGCAAGAAAAATAAATACTCAGCCGATCAGACATGAGAAGCACATAAACAATTCCTGAATACTGAATCACTTCTGCAGATTATTTACTTTCTTATTCAGTTTGTTCTGCAAGAAGGACGGGAGCACTTTCAAGAGACTGAAAATACTTGGACTTCAAGGTGTATTTAAAAGCATCCCCTAGACTAGTCGTTACGAACATCAATTGTTTTCCAACTTGATCTTAAAAACATTTTCATTATTTAGTTTGCGAATTCGGCGGCGATAATATCGTCATTTAGCTCCCACTCCAATCATCGATATGATCGGTGGGGGCTATCGATGTGTGTGGCACATCATCCATATTTTACGTGTGCTTCGCGCGAACGGGTAATTCTTTGAATTTAATTGTATTTCCAACGTGTTTCCAACAAGTTCATCAACTAAAATGCCGAACAATGAATGCCGAGTTCTCGAAGGTACCATCTGCTTCAACACGGGCAAGAACCTCTTCAGTGAGCAGAATGCACAAAAATTGGCGAACCTGAATGTGATAAGTGGGATCTCGGTAAGTTCAATCTGAAAAGTAACCACAAATGATTTGCTCCAATGGCCATTGCAAACGCAGTTCAAGCTGGATCCTGCACTATCCAGATGCGCTTGTGCCAAATGCGTACACAAAGTAATTTCCGGGAATGCTTCATATCTTCCAGAAAATAGAATCCGAAGTAATGCTTAAGGAAGAAATCTCCGGTGATGATGGGGCAGAGCCCAATGCGGATGCTGACGCTGACGCCCTTGATGCTCTGGCAAATGAGCTAGGAGGAAAAAGTGATTTCACCGAAAGTGATGCCTATGAGACGTCGCAGGTTGCTAATTTGCTGGCTGCAAGTCTGCAAAAGGATCTGGGGTACACCGACAAGGGCACTGATACCGAAAATATCAACAAGTCTCCAAAGGTCTTGAGCGAGACTACTATCAAAGTCCTCCCATCCATTCGTGTTATCAAAATTGATTAATTGGCAAACAAGCCTCTGCCAGTTGATGATGATAAAGTTAATTAACTGTAACTACGTATCCATAGAGCTTCCAAAATCCAGAACTCTTCCAGAACTCCCTGAACTCTCCTCTACGCCTCAAAAAAGGAGAACGATTTTTGATGTTTCAAATAAAAGCAACTCGAGGAACAAATTTGTGGACGAGCGAGCACTTGGTTGAGGCACAGCACAGGACCCCAAAGGATAGCTGCTCCAAGCCGTGTTCGATGTGTAGCTTGCGACATTTCCTGAAGGCCCCTCTGCAGGTGTTACAGGAACAGCTTGAAAGTCGTTTACTTGAGCTGTCCTCAGGGCGGACATAGGCTGATGGTACTCCATCCGGATGAGGCAGAAGACTTCTTCTCTGCAAGCACAGCAGATAAACCAAGCGACATATCGAGAATATATCAAGCGAGTTTGTTGAGAAACACAAAGATTTTCGATCATGTGTGATGTACAGTTCTGCTGCCATGAAACTGCTGCTGGTGGTGTCCGATTTCCAAAGGTATTTCTTAGCTTTTAGCTTGCTCTAAGATCACTTCGTCCATGCGCCAACAGTAGAGCAATGCCGCGAAGTAATATCCCAATGATTTGGCAGCTGGCAAAGCAAACCCCCTTCGACTCCAAGAGCTGCACAAGATAAGTCTGAAAATAAAGGGAGTTCAGCAAATAAATTCAGGTAGAATATTAAATTCCATAAAGAACTTGCTTCTAGTTACTATCTTAAATAGCAAAGAACTTTCTACTATCGTGGCACATTCTTTTGTTGCTGCATGAAAACTTGAATAATGCAAAAAGTAAGACAGAACAACTGAAATGACTTTAATGAAGTCGTGAAGGATGGAAAGTGTCATCTATTTGCTAACTTGGTGATGAGACGAGAGTGCGAAGTGGACCTTTTGTCGCACTAATTGATATTAAAGTGAGACAATCAATTCAGGACACTAATAAATTAGCGAACTTGACAATAAAGGGGATAATTAATCACTCACAATTGCGGAATTGCGGAATTGTGCTGTTGCTTGGGTACCCAAATTGATTTGGTGGGCACTTTTAATTGCTCCGAGGAGGTCAGAGTTGAAACGGGGAAGCGAAACATTCCAGAGGTACACAAAACTTGAGGACTTGCGTAAAGTTGAGTAAAGTTTTCGCTTCATGAATTAATTGAGATTGATCCCGTGCTGCTGTTGGACCACAACACATTATGCAGCTTGCGCGTGCGACATCCACCCGGCATACAGGACACACCTGACATTCCATTCCAAGCCCATAGCCCTGCCGTTCCTTCGATGCATCGGAATGTGTATTGTATGTGTATTGTATGTGTGTGTGTGTGTGGTTGGGTGGGTGGGTGTGAAGCAATTTGTGTGCCTTGTACTTGAGTCTCTCACTATGCAACATATTCGAACTATTACACCTATCCCTTGTCCGAAGATGTCAGAGAACCAGCCCAGTGGGGTACGCTGCAAATAGAAAATTCAACGAAAGTTATTCTCTTAATTGACAAGTCATTTAGTTCAAGTACAAACCCTGTTGCATAGTGTTTTATTCTGCATGAGCTGGCAGAACTTTTTGGGTTCAGTGACAATGGAGTCTCCGACAGACAACCTCCAGCATCCAGCATCCAGCAGCCAGCAGCCAGCAGGCAGCAGCCTCGAGGTACATGTCTCGCATTTCACTTTCACAATTTGCCAGCTGGAAGAAGAAAAAAGCACGAAGTAGCAGGATATGGATAAAGAATTCATGAAATCCCGCAAACGAAATCCAACAATTGTGAGCTGGTGAGGGGCGAACAATTTGTATTCAAATGATTTGAGAGCTCTCCGGGAAGTAACATCATTAAAAAATCCTTCGTCTTGAGTACCATTTGCCACGGGTAAAAATAGTACCCCAGGGGATACGCTTGAAATGTCAGGCACTGCTCCTGGGGGAACAATTCGGGTGCTCCATTCCAATGCAATATTTTCCAGAGAGCGTACACAAATATTGTACGACACAACAGCAACGGCAGCAGCTACCAGCAGCTACCAGCAGCTACCGTGGTACGTATTGTCATTGCCCCCCTTCAACCCGCAGGCTGTCAAATTGAAGTTTTCACGGGATATCGATACCTGGCAATCTGCAATCAAGTGCAGTGGGGAGTCAGGAATCAACCGACCTACCGGGGCACCGCAGCCGCTGCATTTCCATTGACTGGCAGCTCGGTCAGATTGGTTGAGCTGCTGGGTTACTGGGATCTGGGATACAAAATAGCTAAAAACATTTCTGCAAGGTAACTTTTTAATTAAAGCTGGAAACGCTTCATCTTGTTCTGCGTGGGATGGAGCAACAGCTTCTGCCTGCCATCGCCACAATAAAATGCTGATACAGCAGAAATAACCACAACAGCAATCAGCCAGCCAGCCAGCCAGTGCCCATCCTCAGTCGTTGCCTCTCTCTATGCTGTTTTTATCTCGATTATTATTTCATGACTCTTTCCCACTCTGTGTGTCTGTCTCTCTGTCTCCCCCTTTCTCTTTCCCCTTTGCGTTTAGTTGATTTTTGGTGTTGTTTTATTATTGTGATTTTTGCATATTATTGTTCATATACAAAAGAGCCAGGCATCAGGAATGGATTGAATTTCTGTAAAAACAATTTCCAATTTATACAAATAAAATCAATTTCATCTCTCCCTCTCTCTCTCTCTATCTCTCTCTCTCTCCCTTTCCCCTTCTTTGGCACATACAGATGCAGTAAGCAATTTTTAATTGATGCAGGCAATGCATGTTGGAAATCGATTTTATAGTATATAAAAACCATATGCCCAAATGACTAGAGAGATGAGTTAAAATTGAAGGCTATTCATAGATGTGTATGTGTGGCATTTTCAGTTCTTAAAGCTATACTGCCTCACCTGTCTGCTGCACTCACTGTGTATCCTTCTGCTGCTGCAGCTTAAAGGCTGTTTAGTGATCCTCTCACGAGCAGCCAACTGTCGTGGCACATCAGTAGCCTGAGCGTGCGCAGCGTGTTGGTTATGCCAGTTAACATATGAAAGGCCCTTGGGGATGTATGTACCCTGATGACCCAGTCTGACTCGACCACTGCGTAAAGCTTCAAATATTATCTGTTCTGCAAGCAGAATTTGGCCATTAAAATCGTAAACTAAATAATTGATTTGCATAAAATACCTTAGGAACCTTAACTTATGTCCCCTAGTCAGACATTTTGCTATTTAAGTAACATGGGAAATGAGAATTACACATAACACAAAGGTCCGACTGCCCATTTGGTTGCGAATTTAACATACTGAGTAGCCACCAGCCGTGAAAGTGTGCAGCAGAAATATATATAAATATATTTGATATGCAGCAACCCTCAAGCGTTGCTGCTGCTGCTGGCAGCAATAAAGCAACAACTAGCAGCGTGCTCCGCTCGTTGTAACGGTAAATGCAACAATGTTTCCGTGCACACAGCTTTGGAAGGGACTCAGCGGAGAGCAGGTAGCAGGTAGCAGGTAGTGCAGCAGCTAGCTGAACGTGCAAATAACTGGAAGGGTCGCGTTGGGGATATCGTAACGGTTTTCAGCTATGCGTAGAGAATTTTAGGCAAATAATTCACCGTTTTAGATGCACGTACGTACGTAATTCCATTAAGCGCAGCTAATCATCGCCTTTGCAATAACATTAAACATACGAAATAGAAGGTATGCCACGGTATATTATGTTTTAGTTATGTTTCAGCGTCTGTGAATCCTAGCGATGGTCCGCGCTGCACAGACTCCGTTCAAGGCAAGCCGCCGCTCGCTTTGCACTTTGATTTCCATACATTTCCAATGACAGATCAGCTGCTGTGGCTGCAAATCAAGAATATGCACATAAGCACACGTGTTTGTACATATTTACAATATTAATTTAGCGCAAAATGCTTCATATTCACTACTCACTAATTGTGCGCCGGCCATGCGCAGCTGAAGGTGATCCACTGAACTGCCACAAAACTGTGCCACGTGCCACGTGTGATCTCCATTGACATCGCTCACTGTCCTGTCCCACTCAATGTGTGTGCACTCCGTCTGGTTGGGCCGTTGAATTCTGAAGGGTCACAGGTTGGCGGCGCTTCGCCTGCTAGCAAAATAATCAAACTGCACAAACAAGTCGACCTCATAAATAGTTAAGACACACAAAGAGTACAACCAGAAGGACGAGCCAGAATAAATGCTGTTATTCCTAGTCCAGTGTCCAATGCTGGGGGTGGCAGAGGGTGAGGCGCAAGGGGGCCGGCCATCAGGTTGCTGGCACATCGGTGAGTGCTGCTGCTGTGTGCCAGTGTCCCGGATCGCTGCCTCATGCCAGCGCCATGTTGCTTCTGCTCTGTGTGTGTCCATTTTTATTGCCCGGCAGCCACATGCGAGTGGATGCTGCAATAGCTGGCTCCAGCCTCTTGTTTGCACAGTCCCAACTAATTGGATTGGCAGTTTCAATTCAACAACGGACAGGCAATTTATTACACATGTGTATTGTGTGTGTGTGTCTCTGCCAGGAGTTGCCACCCTGCTCGAAAATGCTCTCAACTCCACCACACCAACAACAGCAACAACAGCAACAACAGCTCGCTCATTACTAATTTCACCATGAACTCGCCGTTGCCCATCGATGGCTGATCGACGAGTGGCAGCGCTCTCTTCTCCCACTTCCTATTTGGTTCTAGTTGTCGAGCAGCGAGTTGTCGTTTTGCGCGCAGCCAGCACATTGTTTTGTAATTTGCATAAAGTTCAACTTGAAAGTAATTCAAATGGAGCACTACGATCGCAATTCAGCCCTAGCCGCACGTCGCAACCAGTTAATACGCGAGAAAATGTTCGGCGAAGCTATGTTGAAGGATTCTGCAATATTTCGCGGGGCGGTGCGTGCTCCATGTTGTGCTTTTGTTTTTGTGTCGTTTGAGGTTATGTTAATTGGCGCCTTTCATTTGCAGAATGTGCTCAATCTTTTCTGCGGCAATTGTGGAATTGCCATGCTTGCGATCGAGGCCGGCGCCCGCCACGTGGTGGCCATAGATACGATCTTGAATGCGAATGCAGCTCGTCGCATTGTTCGCGCAAGCGGATTGTCTCATCGCATTACCGTATTTGCTGTGGAAGCGCGCAACATGAGGTGGGCCGGCCTCCAGTTCGACATCTTACTTTGCGCCTGGATGGAGTAAGTACATTCGTACACCCGTACACTCATTGACTGCTCCACACTACAGTTCACCCATCGTCCTCCCCCTCACAGCGACATGGCTGTGTTTCAGGGCAGGGTCTCCGACCTGATTGTGGCCCGTGATCGCTTTCTTCGCATGGGCGGCATCATCTATCCCTACATCTTGCGCGTCTCAATTGGCGCCGTGCAGGACAGCGTGTCGTGGGAGACCACCCACAACTTGATAAAGGCCACAATGGGTAATAGGAATTTGCAGAAGATCGAGATGAAGCGCCCAGTGCTGGGCTACCTGGAGTCCAAGCACATTGTCACGACTTTCAAGGAGATCCTCCTGTTTGACTTGTACAAGATCACCTTGGCCGATCTCAATCGTGAACAATTCTTCACTCTAAAAGCAGTCAGAGACGCACCCATACACTCCCTCTGCACGGTGTTTGAGTCATTGGTGATGCGCCCAAATGGACCGGTACCCCTTACCCACTCGCACTTTACACTCGACCATCGTCACACCTTTTTCTATCTGGATACGCAGATGAAGGCCTGCGTAGGAGCCACCATCGTGGGCAAATTCACTCAGATGCGCTGCAATCAGCGCACTCGTATGCAGAAAGTGGAATTTACCCTCGAGTACGAAGGACCCAATGGAAATTACTCTGTGCAGGGCACCTACCACGCTCGCTAGAGCACCAACCGATTCGAATTTACAACAAAGAAACCTCTATTTTTTTTTGCACTTTTTTTCCATTAGAGTTTACTTTTTTGTACTACCATTTAGCGCTATTCAATTGAACATTTTCAATGTTTCATGCACACATTTATTCGAAAGAGAAACATTTCATTTCATTTCATTTAATTTAATTATTTAGCTACATTCGTATATTCTTGGTGCATCCATCAAGGAGCAAGCATTTACTTAATTAATTTTCCTACACACATGCACCCATGGAGTGCTTAAGTTGAGTTTGTGAGAACATAAATCATTTAATCCCAAGTACATATTAAATGCGGGCCGAGCTGGGCCGGTCCGAGTATATATTCTAATTAAGTGAAAATTGTGTAAATTGTTTTTGTTGTTGCTGTGGGAGTCGACGCCTCAGATGGCAATTTTGCAAATTAGACCATCCACATGCCCGGCCACCCATTACCGCTAACGAGCAGCATTAGGGTTAGGTCCATCCACTTGTTGGGCCACAGCCGATCCCCTCCTAAGTCGCGTCCGTCTTTCTGCACACATTTTGTTAAACAATAAAAATGCAAAAGGAAATTGAAAGCCTCGAGATGGCGGCTGCGGACCCGTGCGAAGTGCCATGCAGTGGAGTGCCGGAAGATGCCGGTCCGAAGCGATGGAGCCATAAAGTTTGTGACTTTGGCAAAACCGTTTGGCTGCTGCCCCGCTGCTGTTGGCAACTTTGTTGCAAAATGTGCAGCATCGTGGGAGGACGGACCCCACCCGGCCACGACTCCGTGGCCATTCGTTTCATCACAAACATTTCGCAACGTCGCTCCATTCGCTTCTTTTTAATGGCCGCCCAAGCCAAGCCAGCGCCTGGCCTGTACACAGATATGGAGCATGGAGCCTGGACCTGTGCACTTTTGTTGCTTAATTGGCGGCCGGCCGAGAGAGAACCAGCACTGCACTGGCACAAATTGGCGGGCGAGTTGTGGGCGCTCACGGCTCACGGCTCACGGCTCACGTTGATTGCATAAGTCCCTTACATTTTCGCGCCGTGTTGCCACAGCCACAGCCACATCTACGGCTACGTCGGTGTGCCATTTGCATTCCGGCATTGTCCTGGGCCAAGTCGTTTGAGCCCCAGCAAAATGACAGAGAGGAAGACATGGAAATGGCATCGTCGTGGGCGTGGGCGTGGGCGTGGGCGTGGGCTGCCCTACGTGTGTGCCATATAACTTGGCCAGCGTCATTGTCATCGTCGCTGTCCATTGTGCACCGAGTGCAATACGTAATCACAACAGCAATAACAATGCAGCACAGTGGTCGAAGAGGGCATTGAACTGCTTCAATATTTGCAATGGCATCGATGATTGTTGTTTACATGGAATATTCCAGGAATGTTCCATGTGCGCCATACACTTACAACTACACCCATGTGCATGCATGTGTGTGTGTGCGCATGCATGTGTGTTTACATTTTTTGACAGCTGCCACTTGCCGAGAGAGCGAGAGGGAACGATCGATCGAGCGCCTGTCAGCAGTGGATCCGCCGTGCTGCCAGATCTTCAGTTTTCAATCAATCTGGCGCTTTCCTGCTACATTTTTAGGCGCTTCGCTATAAATAGCTACAAACAGCGGGAATTCTGCTAGTACGCAAATTAATTGCTGTTCTGTGTGTTTTCTGTGATTTTAATAATACCAGCGTTGGTTCTACTGTTCAACGGAATTAAGAATGAAAATGACAGCAGCAAAACAATGTGGCAAATGTGGCACCGGCGATGCTGCCATGGCAATGGCCATGTGGTCTCATCAGGCCACATGCCTGGCTGGCACTCTCTCTCTCTCTCTCTCTCTCTCCCTGTCTCTTGAGGTGGTCCCCAGGTCGTGTACCGAGTCTGGGCGCCCATTACAGTTATGTCACATGGCCATGGCTGACTTAATTCATTCATTTAGACGACACTGACAATTGTAGGTGTCCAGGAGCAGGTCCAAGTCCGCGCCCTTTCTCATTTTGCTGTTGTCAACGAGAATGACGATGCGACGGCGTTGCAGTGCCAGCACACGGCAATGTCCACTGTGCTGAGGCCAGAGTCAGTTGAGGGCCATTATGCCACCGACATTGTCAATGACTGGCGAATTATTATTGCCCAACAGGGGCAGCTGGACGCCAACGAATGACTCGCCTTGCCTTGCCGTGCCACGTCAATCTATCCCCCACATGACTGGGGGGATCATCCGCTGTGTGTGTCCTTGTGTGTGCGGCTGAGCTCCATCTTGTTGTGACAGTTGGCACCATTCCTGTGTAAAGTGGCAGCTGCAGTTGTCGCACTGTCCTCGTTGCCTCTGAGGAAGCCAATCATTGGCCAGCTAGTCAGTCAATCAGGCGCTTGCAGCTGCTCTGCTTATTGCATGGCTTATTATGCATCGCAATGCTCGTTGAGTCACTGAGTGAATTGGAATTTTGATGGCACATCCCATGGGAGCACAGTAAAGTCATTGTTTGCTTTAATTAACATTACTTTCCCAAGCAATTAAAATGTATAGAAAATGTTTAAATTTGAATTGGTTATCGCGGTAATCGCGCGATCGAGTTCAAATCTATCGAGTGCAGGGCTGCATTTTTGTCAGTAATTCCCTGCAATTATAATTTGCGCTCAAATATTTTAGCAAATAATAATAATTGTTTGATGAACATGCTGTGAAAGTCTAGTACTCAGAAAAGGCAAACCGATCCCTAAAGGAATGCTTTACTTTCATATATAATTTGAATTTTCAACCGACATATGCAAACAAACAGCTGACTGTGCAGTGTTACCATAGCGCATGCATACCCGGTCTTACTCCGCAGCCAGCGGCATGTGACAAAGGCGCTATGGAAAAATGTATCGATATATATGTGGGCGAGAGTTCAAATCCAAGACGAAACAGAATTCGCAAGCCAATGCTTGATATTTAACTAGCTTTAAAGTCACACGCCTATTAATTAAATATAAGATAACGAATTTAACAAATGAATAAAGATATTTTTTTAGCTTTTAAAACGAGCCGCCAAATTGCTTCGATTTCGATTAACCGCAAGACGAAGCGCTATCACTAAATCCAAGACATTGGTCACACTGCTGAGCTGAGCGGCAAAATTGAAACTACCAGCAAACCCAGCAAAATGTTCTCTGTTGGATCCTGTATATAGTATGTATATATATGGTATGTATATATTTCATATGTATCATACATCATTTCCATTTTATGATTTAGCAACTAAATGGGGAATTCGTTTTCCATTTCAGAAACGTTTAAAGTGTGCAAAATAAATTAAGAAAAACATTACAAAATAGTTGACGCAAAAATAAATATCAAAATAAATATACAATATGCATATATGTAGTGTATGTATATGTGGGGTATATATTATTGATGCCTTTGCCAGAGTAATTGGAGATTTAATTGTAGAGTTTTTTTTGTTGTTTTTGTTGAATTGTTTCTTTGTTTTATTACAGATTAATTTTTGATGGACTGCTTAATGTCTACAAATTTTGTTTTGCATAATAAAATTGCTTGCTTGAGAAGTGTTTCGTGTGTGTATGGATGGGGTGGGACATGGGTTTAGGTTTTGGGTTGCAAGGTTGCTAGGTTGCTGGGATGTAGGGTTCCGGGTGTACGAGGGAGGGGTGGTGGGGGAGTGCTACTGCTCATATCAATATTGTATGTATAAATATATAAATAAATTTATAGGAATATGTGTTGATTTACTTTTTACCTTCCTTCCTTCCTCGCCCACTCTCTTCGGGGTATTTCTTCATTCTTCATTCCCTTTTTTATATTTTGTATTTTACTTTAAGCTTTTGACGAATCAAATATATCAATATATATATTTATATACTTATAGTTGTATATATGATGTGCTTGCGTAACCGTTATGAAAATGTCTTTTTAAACTTTTGATAATTTTTGTGTTTTTTTTTTTTTTTTGAATTTTTTTTCTCTTTTGAGTTTCAAATTTAGTGGCTGATATTTCGGTTAGAACGGAAGGATTCGCGACCAAAGTTTTTCTCTTTTCTTTTCTTTTTCTCTTCTCTTCTTTTCTTTTTTGTTTTGTTTACGCTTAAAATTTGTTATTGCTGTTTTGTTTTGTTTTTTTTGTTGTTGTTGTTTGTGTATAAAACGTATAAAAAGCTAAATAGATTGTTTAAAAAAAATCCCTCTCTCTATATATATATGTATATATGTACGTAGATCGTAAGTTATGTTCCTTCCACTCGCTCCATTCCCGTTCTCGTTCTCCTTTGAATCCAATTTGCAATCTTTTCTCTTTTTGGGATCCATTTCTTGTGCGACTTGGACTTTCTTTCGTTCAGCACATGGGTTTGGAAATGTGATACTGATGTTGCGTCTCCTGAATAGAACACGCCCTTGCTCTCGCTCTCGCTCTCCCTCCGCTTAGAACTCCCACTGGGTGGCCGAGTCGGTGCCGTCGTCGAGCAACTTGAATGCTCCGTTCTTGGTGGCGCCCAAATATTTGCCCTGCTGCGACCTGCGATTCGAAAAGACAAATTTAAAAGACAATTAGAAACGAACAGCAGCTGGAATGATGGTTGGCCTGACTGACCTTATGCAGATCCTGGTCGGCTCACGCAACTCCAGGAAGAAGCCATCGCTTGGCGCCTCGGCATCCACCGAGATGCTCTCGCCCTCGATGCGCCAGTACTTGCCGCTGTGCGCCTTCAAATGAACGAGCCCCTTCTGGGCGCGCTCCACCAGAATGGTCTCGTACGTGGCCTTATTGCACTCGAGCTTGAGGTTGCCGGGCGTGCGATAGCCGACGAATCCCTGCTCGCACTTCAGCACCAAAATGGGCCTGCAACAAATGAGAGCATGAATATGGGTCAGAGTCAGAATGGGGGGCAGAGTCTTGCTGTTGCTCACCGATTGATCAAGTAAAAGTAGAACTTGGCTATCTCCTCAATGGACTCGGAGGTGGCGAACAGATGGCCCGAACGCTTGGTGGCCAAAAATTTGCCATTGTTGGCCCGGAACGAGAGCGAGCCATCGCCGTGCCAAATCAGCTCGAACAAAGCATCGGCGCATCGACGA